TCGAAAATTTGGAAAATAAAAATATATTTCATATTAAAAACTAATAATTAACATCTGAAAAAAAGATTAATTATTGAAAAATATTATTTTAAGAATACGAATATAAGTACCAGTAAATTGAATGAAAATAGTTATAACGTCAGAAAATAAAATATTTATGTCTTTAATAAAGAAATGTCACCTTAGCACTGCATCGATAACGAGTTTTCCCTAAAAAAAGAAATAAATTCAATAAGTTTCAATAAAGTATAAATAAATATTTAAAATGATGTTTGTTATAATGTATGCCTTCTGAAAACATATAAAATATTATAATAGCGCTGCGGAGCCCGAAAGAACATGAAACAAACATTTGTTAACCACGCGCACTGGTTAAACATAATATTTTTTCTAAACCGCCAATAATTTACAGCAACCGCACTGGTCATTTAATTAATTAACTATTATGTATATAGAATAATAATACTATATGTATATAATTTGACAAAACTCACCAAAAAAAAATTGTGTGCCTGCTTCTGCTACTGCTGATGATGTTATTGAAGATTTCTAAATAATGAAATGTATTTACAAATATTTTCAAAATTTTCCTTACTTTTCTTCGCTTTATATGTTAAATGCTGTAATGGAATTAAATTATTAATTTAAAACATATTTATAAGATACAAATTTCTGCACTTACCTTCCTCTCGCGCTAGAAATGCAAATGGCTCGCATTTTAACCTCGAACCCACACGTGTGGGTTGGTGTTAGTTGAAGAAAATATATGTAATTGTGTTGGAACTTATTCAAAAAAATTATTATATACATACGTATGTATATGTACATATATTTGTAAGTGGCTACGATGTTCTGAATCGTGGAGAGCGACGAATGGAACAACAATTGGTATAATACTATGTTCGGACCGCCAACGAAAACTTGTGTTTTCGTCAATGTAAAATCTTTCAAACGGAAACACAGTTTTCATTGAAAACTACTTGAAAACTCACATTCCACTCATTACAATCGGTGCCTGCTCTAGTTTAATCGATGTTATTGGAAGACATGTTTTGCCGGCCCTAAATTGTCACTTGATATTTGTTTACATACAAATACAGCTATCGCTTGATATTCTCATATTAGGGGGATTCTCTTGATCTTGCAAAACCGTTTACCGTGCAGAAATTGCAGAATTTTCCCTTTCGTGCATCGGCACAACAACCAACACACGCAGAAAATTAACTGCAATGTCTGTAAAACATGGCAGACCAAAACCCATGTTTATTTTCGTACCGTCATATATCACTAGATTCTGCAATGGGTGCTCTCTTGGCTTTGCATATTTCGGTAGAGGATTTTTGCATTTTGTGTCATCGTGCAATTTTGCAAGAGTAAGAGAATACCGCTTTTAATAGTTGTCAGAGAAATCTTATCGAAAACACACATTGTCGGTCCGAACGACTTAGATTCCACAACATACAAATGTATTTTCAAAATATTTTCAATATCGGTCCGAACATAGTATAAATCACATTTGCCGGCATGATGAACTAAAGATAGAATACCAAACGGAAAAACCACTTTAAATTAGCATCCACATACCTCCCTTCAACATTTCACTTTCCTGTTGGTTTCACATGTCTTTTAACAAGAGAACAGCGCTGTCAATAGATGTAGTGAGTAAAGAAGTGGCGAAGACGGCTATTACCACTTTGCCACTTTCGTTAGTTGGGCAGGCTTGGCAACAACAAAGCATTCACAAACCTCCATCAAGTATGTTTGTATATACAAAAATTTAACCTCGCAGAAAATCGAATTATAACACAATTCAGTAAGCAGTACTTGAGTACCAATTAGAGACAGTTAGAAGTTAAGTCTCAATTGGTGGCAAATTACTACTCACAAAACAGTGACTAGTCTTTAGTCACAAAATATTGTCTCAAATTTGTTACCTGATGGTTAGCAGCTCACAAAACTAAAAAGCACTCTTATTTGCCATTGTAAATATACAGACACTTCACCTACCATATAGAGTCGCTTTTTATAATTTGTTAGCAACTCAAAAACAAAATTAAATTGTATTTTATTTTTATTGGTTATTATGCCTTTTAACTGCGATAAAAAAAATTAAACTTGTTATCGAGAAGTTTATTTTCAATCATGATATATGTATGCAATACATCTCTAATTAACGAAATGTGACAGCTCATTAGATCTGTTCGTTTTCAATAGAGAAAATTTTGTGATTACCTAATTTTTATCCTTATTTCCCTAGTCTAAAACTTTCTATTTTCTAATGCCATTATCACACATATTTCTATTCTAAAAAAATACAACGTTGGTTCCAAAGTAAACAGGAGTTTAAAATGTGATTTTGGGTTCGGGTAATCGGTCACAATGATGTCCTTCGAATGTTGGATTCTGAGCAATTTGTGCAGAACATACCGTGCACAAACCGTGCACACACCTTTCGTAAGCCCAAATGTTCGGTCAAAATGCGATAAATCGATGTTTCGGAGAGTTCGGCTGATTTTTGATGAATTCACACTTAATTTCCGGTTGATCACGGATTTTGATTGACCCACATTTTCATCGTCATTTATTTTCGCACCGATAACATAAACATACTGACACTTAAAGCGCAGTAACTTCACTTCCCATAAATGATGAAATGTCACGAAATTCTCACTGGACAATCGATAGAGATAGCAAATTTTAACGCACCAGTCGACATATAGATAGCGCCACCAGAGGGCGTTAGGTTCCTGCTTAAGGGTAGTTTCCAGCTCTCAAGAAATGTAAAAACTTATATAAAAAAACGCTTAAGAAATGGTCAAGAGAATTTCCTGCGGTAAAGAAATCTAGTACTAAATTTTAATACATTTTTTCAATATTTTTCAATAAAATTTGCGAAGAAACATGAAATCAACAATTGTTTCTTGAAGGAAAATCAAAGTAATCGTTAAACTCATAAATTCTAAATTGGTTAAAATCATTATTATGAAATACTAGCTGACCCCGCAGCCGTTGTCCTGCGTGTAATTATGTGTTTTCAAATAAAAAGAATGTTAAATTTATCATTTCATTTTTTCTTCTATGTAACGCAACTTGATAAAAATCATTTTTTGGTTTCTGTTCCGGTGTACAGAAAAGATGGTTTTCCAACTCGTGAGGACGCCACGTATATCTGGACGTGTGAAAAACATAGCATTTCCAAATTTATGCCTCACAGTATGTGACTATCTTTGTGTCCTGTTGATTGTCATCTCAAATTCAATTTTTACTCGAAACGGAATACGTTTGAACTGAAATGGCAAATCAGTAGAACTGAAAGAAATGCGTAGAATCAAGCATTCTACCCCCTTGCATTCGATAGCGCAGATTGCAAAACATAATAACGACAGATCCAACTTTGAGACGCGAATGATGCGGTGGCATACCAAGCCTATCCAAAGAATTTAGAAATTCCACTGGCTAATTCATGACGTCGTCTTCATTGTCAAGAAGATCAACCGATTTGTATTAGTCTCCCCGAATTTGGCTTTGAATCTTCCAGTTGAAGTCAACAATATCGGCATTTTTGGTAGCTTACATTGCGCGTGCACTTAAGGAATCGTAGTTACGATAATTTGGCCAATGTCAGAACATTCGTGATGAGTTCATCTTTCGAGATTTGATAAACGCCGGATGGAATTGATATCAAACCACCGGAAGTATCAACTGGAATTGACCCATTTCCAATTCTTAGCAAAGACAATGTAAAATGTCTTCGGTAGTTTTGTTCATATCCCATAATTGACGCAGATTTGAAGGCTGATATGTCGAAATGATTATCGCGAAGAGTGAGCGAGTGTGTGGTTGGCCTTGCTTTCTTCGTAATTATTTCTTTGACGATGCATTCCATGTATAATATCAAGATATTTCCGAATGTCCTCGCAAACGGATCACTGACGAAAGTTGAGAAACAACTCGTAAATGTTAATTTTGTTGCTGGGGGTGTTTCCATTGGCTGTAATGTATTCTCTGAGTGGAAATAATAAAAAATTATAAGGTATTTTTATTTCTAAACCTTCCTCGACCCACAGCGAACAATTTCTGAAAATTTCATCAAGATTGGTGCAGTCGTTCTCTTAGCCTTACCAACAAACAAACATTCATTCGTTTGTATGGGAAAAAGAAAAGGGCTGTTTTTAGGGGTTTTCACCTCTACGAACATTTTAAAAAAAGAATTGGCAAAATTGGCCCAGGCGTTGTTGAGTTATGCGCTTAACAACATATTTTGCATTTTTAGATATAAGATAGTTCATTTTAAAATGTTGTATAAACATCCCAATCATCAACCACATTCCTTAAATTGCAAGGAAAATGTTTATATATTAACACATATACATAAGTATATTTTCTTTGTTTATTTCCTCTTGACTTCTAATGTGCATCATTCACAATGCGTAATCTGCTGTCAAATTTACTTGACTACTGCTCAAGAAATAAGGAATTTTTTTCTTGAGCATTTACTTGAGACCTGGAACCTAACAATTACTTTGGAAAGCACCTTGTAGATAATAACTTTCAAAATTTCGAAATAATGTAAATATTTATTTGGGACTAAGCGCTGTTGCAGCCAAGAAATGAATTCAGCGAGCGAGTTGTGAATAACAACACAATACGTGCCACCTGAGCAAACTGTGATGTTCCTTCATCTTTCCTCGTCATTCTCTTGTCAACGAACGATTCGGGCACCAAAAATATAGGATAACAGATAATAAATTTCATATTAAAAAATTCGTTTTAAACCGCGCACAATTACGCCCATGGAAATAATTTCATAAGGAAATGAAATACCGAATTGTGAAGCAGCGAACTGCTACGAATAAGAGTACAACCTCTTCGCCTTACCTCGTCGTCCCCTCGCCGACAAAAATCTGGCAACAAAAGTATGATAACTTCAATGAAATTTCAACTGAAATCATTTTTCATTCATAATACCAAAAGAGGTTAAAATGGTTTCTGTTGTTATTATTTCTTGCTCTACAGATAATTTCATACTATTTATGTTTTGAACAAAATGTAATTCAAAAAACACACTGGCAAAATTTGACATAAATCCATAAGCACAAACTGTTAACAACAAACAAACTATCTAGATGATAAAACGAAGCGGCCTCACTTGCAACATGTTTTCAGACACATTCGTAAATACGCGTTAAAAAACGTTTTAGGAATTACTTAGTTTTATTTTCTACGAAAAATTAGAATTTATTAAGACTTAAGTTCTTAAAAATAAAATTAAAAATCTTTATATTACCATTTTTGCTAATAATTTTTCATTTGAGCCACTCACAATGATCAACCAGACCTTAAACCATAGAAAAGTTGATCAGAAACTCTTTTCTCACTCTCTCGATTGTCAGCTGGCAGCGGACCCTCAGCTGGCAACAAAACACAATGAGGGTCCCGTCAATCAGCAGTTAGAGAAGAAGGCGGTATGCCAGAGGAATAGCGCTAAAACGAACTGCCAAAATTAGTGCGTTGTTGAATTCTGTAAAATTAGATGTGAGTAGTTTGTAAAATTATTTATATATACATCCGTCAAAAAAGTATTCCACTTGTAACGACTTCTGCGAATAATGATGCATAAAAAAATATTATGAACAAAAAGTAGTAAGCAAATAAGTATTGGACATTTAAAAAATACAATGAAAACGTAATAATAATGAAAAATTAATATTTTGTTGTTTTTCGTCTGCGACGACTTCACCAAATTTTTGGTTACCTCATCGATTTTAAGCCATTCCTCTTTCAGGACCTTCTCCATTTGATTTTTGTTAGTAAAGTGACGCTCTCTCAATCGTTTCACCAAAATGCTCTACAAGTGCTCAATCGGGTTGAGATCCGGACTTTGAACAGGTGTTTTAATAATTTACGACA